CATGGCTGTTTACCACAAACACAACATTTATCCATTATTTTTCCAAACATTGTAAACATTGTCACTGAAAATGCTTTTTCAGCATTGCAATTCTTTTTTTACACAGTACAGTATTCACAGACATCACAGACATGTTTAAACACAATAAATATAAGCAACACATTATTCAATGTTTTTTACTTTTGCATTTACTTCTAGATTTAGACTCAGAAAGACAGACACAGAGACAGACAGACAGAGAGTCAGACAGACAAGACAGAGAGACAGACAGAGAGTCAGACAGTGAGACAGACAGACAGAGAGTCAGACAGTGAGACAGTGAGACAGACAGACAGAGAGTCAGACAGTGAGACAGACAGACAGACAGAGAGTCAGACAGTGAGACAGACAGACAGACAGAGAGTCAGACAGTGAGACAGACAGACAGACAGAGAGTCAGACAGTGAGACAGACAGACAGACAGAGAGTCAGACAGTGAGACAGACAGACAGATGGATGGATGGATGGTTGGATGGATGGCATGAACGCGGAAAAAATACGCACCGCATACGCACTGCAAATGGAGTAATGTGAACCTGGCATTATGTGTGTGCACTGCGAGTGTGCATGAGTGCACGGTGTCCAGGAGAGCGCGCGAGCGCTGAATGGTTAAACCCTGGAAAGAATTAAAAAGAAATGCAATTTATAAACTTTAGTGACGATGCGACACTGCCTCGATTGTGCAAGTGACAATTCCTGTGTCAACTCTGCAGCGTGCAGCTTGCTTATAGACAGACGCGATGTGGTGATTTGAAGCCATTTGCGTATTTTGAGAGAGAAAGAAAAGCGTGCGCGGTGATTCACTCATGCGGTTTGTGAAATTACGTCTCACACAAGGTTTATTAAAGTTATTTAATGAAGAAATATGAAGGTGAGTACCTCACCTTCAGCATTATAATTATTTCACCCACGCCAGACAGAGACTGAGACGGTGCAGCTGCATGTCATGCCAAACCTCTCACAGCAGCGTCATCAGCTTGAGATTGTTTTTTTTAGATCAGCCTTTTTAGAGACCGCCGATCAATCATCCCAACTTGTTTATCGGCCGATAGTGATCGGTAGCAGATCAATCGGAGCACCCCTAATAGAAATCTTGTAACATTTATGGTCATTGTAATGCATAATTTAATGCCTCCTTGCTGAATATAAGTATTAATTTCTTTAAAAAAAAATTACTGACCCCAAACCTTTTAACTGTAGTATACATATAGAATATTTAAATCGGTTTTATAACCATGGGATACAAAAAGTGAATTGGGAAAAAGTTGATTGTGTGAAAGAGTATTCTTATTGTTGTATGTATGATAATTTACTTTATTGTCACTTGTTGGTATATCATTAAAAAAGTTGTGGACCTTTTATAAATTCTGTATTAATGAAATTCTATTTTAAGTCTATTTTTTCTATTTTAAGTCCAACAATGTCATTTAATTTTTTATTTCTTTTAAATGGAAGAGTTAAACAAGTGGAGAGTAAAGGAGAGGCAGAAAACACATGCCCAACATGCAGCAGAATGTCTTCATTATGCAGTCATTATTACTGTATTAAGATTAGTAAGACCAATTGCACTTATTGCACCAGTGAGAATTCTCATTTAGAAACACAAACACAGGAAGAGATGCAAGAAGGGAAATTTCAGGAACAAGAGAATAATACCCTCCCCACCCATCTCACCCCTGGGACCAAAAAAAAAACCATAAAAAAAATAAAGAAAGCAGGAAAGAAACAGAAGTCTCCAAAGTGTCAAACATCAGAAGTTATGTGATTAATAGGGAACGTGGTAATATAAACACAGGCTAGATGTAGGGCAGACAGTCTTCCCAGTACACATCTTCTGACCCACTTCTTTATGCCCACACCCTATTCAATAGGTCTGGCTGCTTTCATTTCAAGATTCTGTTCTTTCTTTTCAGCTCATGAGAAGCATGACTGGGCATGGCAGGGCAGGACGTGACACTGCCAATAATGAGCACACCCAAATCAGACCGCATCTGTGCAAGCAAAGCTCTTCACCTGTCTCATAACCTCAAGTCAAGTCAAGTCAAGTTGAGCTTTATTGTCATGCAGCTGAGTCCGTGCAGCTGAATAGCGCAGTCCAGGATATTGTCGTTTAGCCATGTCGTCATAACCTGCAGCAGGGACTTCCAGGTAAGGCAGCGCATGGGTGCGCCAGATTGTGCAGAAATGTCTCTGTGTGTGTGTGTGTGTATGCTACTGTTTATGGGATGTGCTTTTGTGTATAAATCTTAAGGGCATGAACAAACTAAGCTTTATTACCACATAATACCTAGTAATCTGGATGTTGCGATTACATAAAAAAAGTAAGATCTTGTACAAGCAGAATTATACTAACATTAACCAAAGTAATAACAAACTTAAATAAGCTAACATAATGTATGGCCAATTTTGGTGCAAAGGTGAATATAAACTAGAGCTAACAACAAATCTAAAACCAAAATCAGTCACAAAATTGATTTCATTTTTGTTAATTGAATTTGTAAAGGTATCCTAATGTCAGTTTGTTACTTGGCCATTTGTATGCGGAATTTACAATGTTCACAGTGATAATAGTTATCGTGTGATTGTTTGTTTCACCTTGTAGTTTCTGATTCTCTCTCTCCATCCTCAGCAGGAGAATTTGTTGAAGAATTGCTTTCCTCCATAACGCTCTTAGCTCCGCCCCACTCCTCTTTCTCCTCTCCTCTGGCACCGCCCCCAGGATGCTCTCCCCGCCCCCCACTCCGCCTCCTAGTGCCATTCTGTTGCCAACCTTTAAGCTGGATTCTGGAAAACAGAATAGTTTACGTCACAATAGCATAAAATTAACATGAACTACCAACATTTGCCTACATAAATTACCAACAATGTCACCCAACATCATCTACAGTAAACAACATCTACATTAGGGCTGCACGATAAATCGCATGCGATATTTAACGCGCATCTTATCAGTAAAGCCGGTTCTGTAATCAGCGGTAAATCTCCATCACGTGCGGGCTTTCACATTGAGCAGCATTAACTACACAGAGCCGTTGTTCACTGACGAGCTGCGCAAAACCACGTTCATATTCGCGCGATTTTTTGCGCAGCTCGTCAGTGAACAGCGGCTCTGTGTAGTTAATGTTGCTCAATGTGAAAGCCCGCAGGTGATGGAGATTTACCGCTGATTACAGATCCGGCTTTCTGACAAGATGTGCATTAAATATCGCATGCGATTTATCGTGCAGCCCTAATCTACATCAACTATTAATATCATCATGTCTATGTTTGTCATTATACCGTGATTTCAGCAGTGACCAGTGAAGTTTTGTGATTCGGAATTGTGGTATGTAGTCAGTACACCATAAAAAATGTTATGTAATTTTTTTACAGAAAAGGGTAATTTTTATACTTTCCATATAATGTAAAAAACTGTAAATGGTTTAACATTACATTATATGTAATTTTACTGCAAAATAAATGCAAAATGTATGGGTTTTAGCAATAAAACCTATGAATCTATGAATTGCCATATAATTCACAATTTAAAAAAACAGTAAAAGGACATTCCTAGAATTCACATATGATTAACAGCATATTTTTTTACAAAGTATGTCACTATTAAGTAAATATTGTTACAAGGTATTAAATAAACATTAATAAAATAAAGAGAAACAGAAATGACAAACAAAAAGAAATAATATAAGAAAAGATTAGAAATAAAGTAAACTTTATCAAGTATTTTGGTAAGTTCAGAAATAGAAAAAAGAAGAAAAAAGAACAACAGGTAAAGTAAAAGGTGAAATAATACTACTTAAATGTAACCATTTAATTTTTATGGCTGTTTATGGCTGTTTACAATCATTTAAGACAAACACAATTGCGCTTAATGTCTCTCCAAGACAAACAAGTGTATTTGAATGTTCACACAAATATCAACTACAATAGCTACCAATCCGAAAACAATAACCATCATCTTTCTAAATCAACAACACCTATATCAATTACCAACATCGCCATTACTTATCACTGGTATAAAATATCACTCATGTAAGCTTAAAATTCTTCAGATCAAGGTAATAAGCTTACACTAAATAAACGCTTCAATTCATATGACTGTAACCTCTGAAAACATGTACAGTTAACATGCTATCATAGTAAATGATGAAGCTAAAAGAACCTAAAATAAAAGTCTCTGATTTCCCCACACTTTAATAAACAGTAGGTGTACTGCATAACGGCACGGTCACAATAATTTTTTTTTTTGTTTTCTCTCATGTTTGCAAAAATTAACACTTAACAAAAGAGCAAACCAAAAAACACACAGAAACACATGCATAACACTCAAATACAACTGTCCATGCGTACAGGCAGAGGTGTTAAAAAATAAAGCGAACACCACCCAAACAATAGGGTGGCTCCGAGACAAAGTGATAAATTGTGCATAAAGAAAAATAAAATGTACTGTTATATATAGTATAAACACAGAGTGAGATCACCTAAAATACTGTGCTGCATAATCACAAGGAAAAGAAAAATCAAATCAGAGTGTTGAAATAAAACAGCATTCACCCACACACTATACATTTTTCTTTCATCTCACTCATGTAACACACAAAACCAGATCTTGTCTTAGCCTGCTGTAGTTTAGCCCACTTCCTACCCACAGTTCAAAAACGTAAATTGATTGGATTTAAATGTTAATGTTCAAACAGCAGTTCTCATTTGCACAGCTCAGCTCATTAGCATAAATATAAATGTTGCAGAAATGTTTATTACTTTCACTGAAAATATTGCTGCTGTCAGTGTAAACAATTTTTAAGGCTTACAGTAAGGGTTATAGGATTTTCAAACCTATAATTGTCAAGAGGTTGTTGTTTTCCCAATTTTCTCATTCCAGTGGTGACAAAATACCCCAGATTCACTTTATTATTGTGACATTTCATATGTACAAATATTTGTGGCTGTATACAATACCAATACACAGCAAATGATTTTTTTTTGGACAGGAAACCTACCATAACAATGTTAGAAACAAACAAACAAAAAAAATCTGTGTGAGTAGAAGGTTTACTGAGACTTTACTGAGATTTTTTTCACCGACGAAAACGAGACGATGACGAACTAAAACGCGTTTTGAATGACAGAAACTATGACGAAAATCTATTGACATTTTCGTCAATGAATAAATACAAGACGAGGTTAGATGTGTACATATGAACCGGCGGGACATAAGCTAACATACACTTGCTGCACGTCTCATAAAACATACAAAAATGTCGATATCTGGGAGTAAGCGAAGAGCAGACATATGGATAAATCTGACGACGCAAAAGAGAACTCAATTCGGTCCAGTTTTCTGAGCGCAGACACTGAAGCAGCGTCACTCACACAGCACAAGAGTACTCTTTCGCATCTCATGAACGGAGAAATACACACAAAATCATGTCGAATTGTCTGTTTTGATGAGTATTCATGCAAACACACTCGGTTATGTCTTATGTGAACATAAACAGTTGGGAGAATATTGGACGTGTATTAGTACATTGCATCCGGTTTTAAAGGGACAGCATCCTAATTTAGTTGCTATTGTCTGTGGCATTGATGTTAATCAAGCAACAAAAGAAAGACAGAAAATCACTCACTGCTCTTGATTGAATCACTTTAGTAGCCCTAAAGACTAATCTAAATTTATTTATAGAAACAAATATGTCAGCTTGAAACAATAAAGAATGTGGTAAACAAGTTGTTATAAAGAATGCATAATTAGCCTATATAACCATTTGTATTTCATTGAAAAGAAGACCATGTTCTTGTTCTTTATGAGAAGTGGTTTTATTTAATTTTTACATAAAGGCATGTTGTGTGTCACCGCAGTTAAACCGGTGTCTACCATGATAAAATCTTAATATCAAACTAGTGAATTTGGAAACCCATTAGATTTTAGCAGACTAAATTTACTGTAGATTTAGTCGACTAAAATCTTATGATATTTAGCCGACTAAAACTAGATTAAAACTAAAAAAAATTCAGATGACTAAAATATAACTAAAACTAAATGGCATTTTAGTCAAAAGACTATGACTAAAACAAAATCAAAATTCACTGTCAAAATTAACACTGCTGAGACTCTAACCGAAGTAGATCAAAAAAGGTAACCTTTTACCTTTTGGGGGCCACCAAGTTGAGATCATATGACCAGACAAACACTGCTTAACCTAGATAAATAACTGTGAAAAGAGCATTTCCACAAAAACATTAAAGGTCCCCTGAAATGCTTAGAAACACGCAGCGTTACTCTGTGTTGACGTCATTTTAACTGAAACAGGAAGACAGGCGGGACATATCAAGCAGCCCCACCCCTTTTTAAAATAGCCAATAGCGTTCGTTTATATCACAGCTTGGGCTAGAGCCGTTCAGAGCCATTGAGCTCCGTAAAGCCGCATTTGACAGGGTATGCCAGCCATAATCTCATCCATATTGCTATAAAATATAGCATTCTGTGTAGAATTCAAATAGCTCTGATACATTTTGTGGTCTGTATTTGAGACTCCTGCATACACGGTAATATACAAGTCAAGTACAACTTCTCAAGACAGTGAGAGAACTGAAGTGCCTTTATACACACACACACACACGGTCTTGGTCAGACAATGTTTCTGCCTAACATATTTTAAGGCTTTCAACAGAAGGGCCATACAACTTCTCTCAAAACAGCAATTTCTTATGTCAGGAATCATACACATACACACACACACACACACACACACACACACACACACCTGACCCAGTTCCAGTGGGGTGGAGCAGCACGAGTTTGAGTGTATGTGTGGAGATTGCTACAGCAGACACTGACGCACTCGGACACTTGGGCGCCGGTCACTCCCTCTGCAAACACACACACGCGCGCGCGTGCGCACATGCACACACGCACACTGGCCAGTCCCTCTGTAAATAAGTGGTGTTTCTGCCCAGACCAACGCCTTGCAAGTGTGCAAACACACATATATAAGTGGGTCAATAAGGCCGGTGCTTTCCTGTAGATATCTGTCAACATGACCTCCTGCAAAACACCACACCCAACACACACACATGCATACATTACCTCATTAACACAAACATTACTTCATTCAGCGCAGACACACACTTGTCAAGACACACCCAAATATACTGGAGAAACACACACACAACTAGAGCGTTCTTGGCACGCATTCTGCTTTAAGGAAGTGTACTCATATTACTGCACAGAAATCAACATACATTTTTCCATAAACGAAAAAAGGTCAGTTCTCCAGAATCAGATACTGGACACCTTTTAATTGAGCATACAAACACAGTCCAACACAACTATGGAAGCCTGTTTTAGCTTTAAAGAAAAAAAAAGTATTTGAGACTTCATATGTCACAATTTCAATTGTATTTCTTGCAATAGTAACTTTATATCTCACAGTATGACTTCATATCTTATTTTAAACTTGAATTATTTTGTAACAACTGTTAAACCTGGGCTCTAACACCATACTATTTTCAGGCATTTAATTTTTTTAGCCTATTAAGTTAAACAAAAGTGTGGATAATTAATCATCATTCTCTCATTCACACGCACACACACACACCTGAGGGGTGTTTTGACATCCGGAACAACATTTACTGCGAGGTGCTGCCAAGTCTAATGAGCTACCAACTTCAAAATAACAGACCTGATTTGCTGTTTTGGCAGCTCAAGAAAGAAAGACATAAAACAGGTCAAGAACAGAAGAAAAGCAAGCACTGACAGAACCATGTCTGGGTGCGGGGGGGAAATGAGGAAGGTGATAATCACTGTAATTCTGTTTCTTCACCATAAGAAACATCAAGACCAAGTCGGTTGTCAGTTGTCAAACTCACTTAAATTAATTCTTTACCACGTCATTAAGAGCAAGAGCACTATCTAGTGGACATCAACAGTTACTGCAGCATGTAGAGGCACTGACTGTACTGTACACTGTAAAGTGTAGTTTGCATTGATGTACTCTACTTACATATTCAACTAGGCTGTTACCTTTGGAGTCTGAGCCCTTCTGTGGTGTGGCAACTCTTAAGAAGATCTGTTGTCTCCAGGAGTGTCGCCGGCTACATAATGGACTGTCATCCCCAACAACACACACTGCTCCAGGACTGGACAGGGCCGCCACATCACTAAACACACATAGAAATACATAAGCTAAGGCATCCATTCACAAATATATACACATACAGACAGACAGCAGTCACAGACTTCTGTCAGAATAGACATAGCATATTTAATTTCTATTAGCTTATTAAATTTGAAAGCTCATAAAACAAGACCAAAAAAATAATTTCAAAACAATCCTAGACCAACTCATTACTAGTTATTTGAAGTATTTTGAGGATTTTTTGTAATTTTCAAGTACTCAAGTAATCTATCTATCTATCTTTAAAAAAAATGTGACATTGTGTTCATAATATTAAATAACATCAGCTGATATTAGATTTTTTAAATTTATTTGTATGTTTTTTTAAATGTACTGTACCCTTGCTACTATCCAGCACTCACTTTATCTTTAAAAACACTAATAATTCATCACTGTTAAATGTAATGGTTAGGAAATCCCAAAATGTATTATTATATAGTGTACATTATAATGCTGTGATGCATGTATTTTATTTTTAAAATATGATACTGCATTTAATTCACAAACACTAGGCTATCCATTTTTAATGGTTTCAAAATAAGCATAATGTCTATGTTTGTCTTCTGAAAAAAAAAAATATATATATATATGCATTAACAAAAACTCTGTGGAACAAGTAAGCAATTAGTTGATTTTCAGTGCACATCCTAATTCATTACAAGAACATTTATCTTTGTCTAATACGTCCTTATCCACATGAGCCTCTGTGGCAGGTGCAGAAAAAGAACAGAGATGGAAGACAGAAAAATGGAAATATGGATTGGCAGAATGCGAAGAAGAAACAGAGTACCTCTTTCTCTGAGAGTCACTGGTATCATCACTCTCCACTACAGGGGCCAGAAATTTGAGGAAATTTGGAACAGAGGAGGAGGAGTGTAATCTTGCTCTAAAGCCACTCAGCCCTGATGGACTGAGAGATAGAGCATGAGAAAAAGAGAGAAAGAGAGAGGCCACAGAGTAAAGGAGTGAGACAGGGAGTCACTGTAATATACAGCCTCAATGGACTGAAACAGCACAAAAGTGAAATATATCCTGTTCTTGCTGAATTAAACTTCACAGCACAGCACAGAAACTTCAGAAGAAAAAAGACAGAAAAAAATAATTTTATGGGGGGAAAAAAGTACCCTGACCTGTTTGTGAATGACAGTAGTACAGAGAAAGACACATACACACACCTCACCTCCGCTTGAGGGGCCGGGTGGAATGATCAAGAGCAAATGTACGAGGCCTCAACGGCCGCTGACACACAGGAGAGGAAGAGGCTGGAGGGGAGGAAGGACTGATGAAAATACAGAAAGGATGGAAAAAATAAAGGTGGGCGCAAAGGAATACGAAAGCAGAGATGCACAGAATTAAAAAGTGAAGCACACAGTGAACTGAATTCACACTGCAGGCTAAAAAATGTGATGTAAGAACAGGAAAGAGAAATCCACACACCCTTCTCTAAAAGCACCTCCCACAGTGATTGACTGACAGGAGTCCGTCACTGACATTGTACATGTAAACAGAGTTTGCAAATGTTTGAAAATGCAAATATTCAAATTTAATTATATTTGAATTAAGTCAATTGGGTGCACAACTAAAAAAAATTGAATTTGCAGTTGGTGGTTTGGATTTTGTCCACATTTTGTTTCCACAGACACAAACTATGTACAATGATCAAAAGAAGCAGCTAGCATACACACACACACACACACACACACACACACACACACGTCTCACTTGCTCTGATGTGGAGAATCTGTGCTGACAGAGTAGTGTCGGACCAGTTTGGGCTTGGTGGCAGCAGTAGGTTGTAGTGGGGGGAGACTAGGCTCTGAGGACGACAGCATGGGAGAGTGACTAATTGTGCTTGCACGTCTCCTGAAGCCCTGAGGCGGGCTCTCAGGACCCTCCTCACCTCCCACTGAGCCTTCAAGACGCTTCAGATCCCCTGTGGAATTGTGGGAGCGGAGTGGACTGGAGGGAAGGAAAGAGCAGAGGGGCTCCTCCAATGATGTTTCCTTAAAAATCAAAATAGAGCATGTCAGCGACCCTGCTAAAACACAGGCTTGTCAAGAAGCTATTTTAAAAGAAATACGGTTCATGTGAGTGCTTGCTTACAACTTACTGTTAGTTTGAATAACACATCTTATATGACAGAAATACAAAGTTGTAAAACAGCAAACAGCCTTCTGTTATACTAATGAAGAATAGTGGACTTTATTTTGGAAATAAAATGTTTATTGTGATTATTATCACTAATAAAATGCATTATATTTAGTACATACTGGTGCTTTTAGTCATATTACTGTTAAGACCATAATTATATAAAAGCATTAAGCTACTCAAGGATACCACGGCTAGTTATGGACTAATTACATGGGAAAGAGAAAAAGGAGTATCTTGCAATCTCTTCAATCCATATGTAACATGATTTCAAGTCATCAATAAATCCTTCCAAAAGGAGTAAAAAAAACATATATGTGTGAGGAAAAGTTTCAATAGAATGTGAACACTGAGGTCCAGCATGACCGAAATGCTTGTTTGTAGATTTTAAAATGCACTGAGCACTTTATTTTTGTAAGAATAAAAAGAAGATGCATCGTGGTACTCTTGATAATGGTGGAAGACGGTCACTTGGAGGAGAAGAATTGTTGAATAAAGTCGTTATTTTTGTTTTCTTTGTGCACAAGAAGTATTATCGTATTTTTACTTTGGGGTTACTTTGCATTGCTGTCTATGCAGGGTCAGAAAGCTCTCGGATTTCATCAAAAATATCTTAATTTCGATTCCGAAGATGAACGGAGGTCTTACGGGTTTGGAACGGCATGAGGGTGAGTAATTAATGATATCATTTTTATTTTTGGGTGAACTATGTCTTTAATATTCAGCTTTGCCATCAGAGAAATACATTTTAAAGGTATACTGAAATAGTAAACAGCTGTTTTAAATTGTATTAATATTTTGCTTAATTTTTTATCAAATTAATGCAGCCTTGGTAAGCATTTAACAGATTTCTTTCAAAAACGTGAAAAAAAAAACTTAATTTGGAATAGTAGTGTAAATATATATTTTTCAAATCAAAATTAATGCAAACCTGAAGTGGTAATGTGGATACAACATGTGTATTAATTTTTAATAATTGAAAGAATAATTAAACTTTTTAAACAATTTTAATCAATTTTAATCATTAAAACTGCTCAGAATCCATTATTCCACTTAGAAACCTGATAAAACTTATAATGCAGCTTTTGTTGCTGAAGTTTAAAGGGGTCATATGATGCGATTTCAATTTTTCCTTTCTCTTTGGAGTGTTACAAGCTTTTGGTGCATAAAGAAGATCTGTAAAGTTGCAAAGACTAAAGTCTCAAATCCAAAGAGATATTCTTTATAAAAGTTAAGAGTCAACCACGCCTACCTAAACTGCTCGTTCTAACAAGCCGCAAGCCCGCCGGACGTTCCTTCGTCGAATCCGCTGGCCGCACCGTTCTCAAGCCCGCCCGCCTCTGCTCACTCAAGTCGGCCTCCGCATACTCTAGGCCGCGTCTCACTCTAGGCGTCCGGCCTCCGCTCACACACCAAATACACAAAATAATGTTCTTTTTAGCAGCATCATATGACCCCTTTAAATGCAATTTATTAGATTAGTGTCATGAAAAAGACTGTAATGCTCTTTAGAAGAGTGGATGTCCAAATATAACTATTATTTTGTTTAAAGGGGCAGTCGTGCCCTAATGGTTAGAGAGTCTGACTTGTAACCCAAAGGTCATGGGTTCGATTCCTGGAACCGGCACATCCTTTCCTCCTTCATTTTACATCCCCATCAAAACCATTGCAAATTTTTTGTGAATAGCCAGTCCTAAATGACATTTAAATATATTAGGGCTGGGCAAGTTAACGCGTTATTATCACGTAACGCATTAATTAATTAACGCCGACAATTATTTTATCGCGCATTAACGCAGTTTTATTATTATTATTTTGAAAGTCCGATGCTCACTGGCTCTGAATACACATACAGACAAACCATGGGTCACAGGAGGGGTGGGATGTTGATCAGTACTGGCTTGGGATGGGCGTCATCACGCGTCTCAACCAATAAGAGCATTTGGGGAGGGCCTAAGACTGCAGCAGTGCTCACATGAACACTCCCGATAAAATTATTTAGGCTAAGCATCAACATTCACAAATCTGTTCACTGTTATTTTTAACAGAAAAGAATGCAACGTGCTTGTAATCACGACTTCATAAGTGGGAAATAGGAAGTTTGCGATAGCACATGAAGACCGCAGAGAAGCGCTCTCGCTCAGCACATGCAAAGTGCATTGTTTTGTTAACTTTGTGGTTTATTATTTTGAGTCGTTTGGGACGCACGGTGACACACGGCCCTCTCACAGTATATATACGCAATCATGCTGCATGTATCATAAGTTAGCACTCACACTCACTGATCTAAATATATAACTGAACCGCGCTCTGGCCCACCTCTTCCAACCGAGCCAGGACCGCGGCACGGAGCGATCACACTAGTCAAACGAACCGGGCTTTGGGGGTCAAACGCACTCGGGCACGGTTAAGATTGCCTAGTGTGAGTACACCCTTATTCTCCCGCATCCCGCACACAGGAGTCTCTACCCGCCCGCACTCGCCCATCAAAGTTTTGTTCCGCACCGCACTCTGCTGCGTTGGGTCCCGCGATCCTGCAGGTCTCTACTCGGAATGTGCCTGTTATAATGTTATGATCGAGGCTCTGGACTCTGAGCATTACTTAAGGGAAGAAGTAGGACCCATGTAAATATCGGATCAGCTTTCCAGCGCTGGAGAGAACTCAAGGAGCGGAAGGCCTGCGATCGGACGCCGAGGATGCTTTGTTTCTTCTCGATAGGTGAGTAACACCGTGTCTGCGCCGCAACAGCTAAAGTCTGTCTAGTACACTGGACGTGACAAAGCGACCATTGAAAATCATTTGAAATTTGCGTCAATATGTCATAAATAGAATGCAGCAGCAGTTTTCTGTCGGGGATTTGTCGTGTCGTGCCGCATCCAGTGTAGACCATAGATATGTATATATAGCTATGGTGTAGACAGCATCACTGATTATAATGAGTTCTATAGTATTTTGTCACGCCGCGCCACTCGCATCCGGTGTAGACACGGTGTAACATTGGTTTTGCTTTGTTTCACAGAACTAATCGTTGCCTGGGTTGCGTATGTATGTGTGGCGCAGAGCTATCAAAATAGACCCTTTTGGGGTAGGGGCGTGTTTGTTTTGGTGATTTCAAATGTCAACATTGGCTACCCCAAATTGCTTACCCCACCTTTAAATGAAAAAAGTGCACAATACACTACTTTTGAATTCATGATTGAATTTTGTGCATAATGCGATTAATCGCGATTAAAACATTTTAATCGTTGCCCAGCACTAATATGTATTGATGATGTAAGAGTTCTGCAGACCTGATTTGTGCTGTTCAGTGTGGTGGAGCTGGAGGAGTTGCTCTCTCCCTCACTGTTCTCCCTCTGGGATTTGGACTTACTGCTGCCCTATTATATAAAGACATCCATTTTTCCATAAATTACATGTATCTTGCTACAAGTCCTATAGTCTACTCGTGTTCAAAATGTGTAAAATGTTTGCATACCTTCCAGATCCCCTCCAGTGATTCAGTGAGGGATCTTTTTGCTCTAGTCTTGAGCTCCTCCAGACGCACTCGACTGGAACTGACAGTGCCTTCAGCATTCACCGCAACCTCCTGAGAAGTCTAACACATGCATACATACAGAATTGTATATGGACAGACATCTATATCCAATACCCCAAGATCTCAGTTGTACTTTTAGTGAGGTGTAATATTTACTTTTCACTTTTACTTTTAAAACAGACTGACATAATGGGAGTCCATAAGGAGCTTGATGACATTACATGGAGGTGTACCTTTTTTGTTTGTCCATTGTGTGTGTGAGTGTGTGTCTTTTGTCTCTCCTCATACAGTCGTCTTAGACATGACACAATTAACTCATTCTCTTCCTGATCTGACTTAGGCCTGGCTTTCTGTTCAAACACACAAACAAAGGTTTAACTTGCAAATTTCCACAAGGTGGCATCATCGATCTTACAGAGCACACATGGTCAGAGAGAAATCCAACCAGCAGAGAGCAGAATGGAATGTACTCTGCATTTTTTACAAATTTATTACAATATTTTCACAATTTAAGCTAGTCTGAGGACCAAAACTACTACATATATAAAAGTTATGTGAAAGAAGGGGTCAATTTACAAAATCAATATATTTAAATCAAGGGGTATATTTAAATTAATATTGCAAAGACAAATTTCTGTATGTTGCACCTTCAAAGCTGAAATTAAATCTAAACGTCTGCCACAAAGTCAAAAATCTAGACACATAATGCTCAGAGGATAGCAGTCCATTCATCATCAGGATGTTAAGTCGTTCAGGTTTGAGTGTAGTTTCAGGATTCTAGACGAGTGGACTAACTGGTTTCATTTACACCAGTCACACCCTCCGAACAGAACACACATTCCTTGAATGCCGCACTTTAAGGATTTGACACACACTGCTAATCCTAACACACTGCTAATCCTAAGAACAGGGGAGCTAAAGTGTATTTGTGTAGTGTGTTATAGCGGTTTTAAGTTTGGAATAATTGAACTCACCATGGTGCTCTCAAACACAGATGCCTGCTCCTGATTATCCAGACCTGCCAAATGCTTCTGCAGTTCCAGCTTAGCTTTGGATGGATGAAGACCTGTACATAAACACAGAGTCATGCCATGCACAAAGAAACAAACACAAGTATGCACAGCTGCATCCCATGGAATTCTGAAATAAAAATATCTCTCATCCTAATTCTTGTTCTGAATAAACAATTTTTCAATTCTGCCATTATTACGGTGTGTTTAAGGGATTGTTCACATAAAATGTACAACTCTGGTCATAACTTACTCACATTTAATTTCAAATCTGTATGATTTCCATTCTTCTATGCAACACAAAAGGAGATATTATGAAAATTCGGTAACCCTTTAGTATAGGGACCAATTCTCACTATTAACTACTTGCAAATCAGCATGCCTGTTATTAACATATTGGTTGTTTAATAGTGCTAATGGAGCATATATTCTGCATGACCATATTCTACATCCCTAATCCTACCCAACTTGACAACTACCTTACTATTACCTTACTTACTATTAGTTAGCAGCAAATTAGGAGTTTGAGGCAAAAGTCATAGTTAATGGTTTTTAGTAGCAAGAATTGGCCTTTAAAATAAAGTGTGACCGAAAATTCTCCCATTGCCCCTTCCATAAAAAAAAGTATAGTGACCAAGGGGGTAATAAGTCCCATATGACTATTGTTATGATAATGTTTTTAGTTTAGAAGCTGAATAACAAAAGTTGGGGTCAGTAACATGGGTGTATTTTGTGGCGAATAAAAAAAGTGACTGAAAGATTTTATTAAGTATTTTTTTTAATTAATAATATTTTCAAATTAAAAGTAAATGTGCATATAATGTAGTTATTTTAATACATTCTAAATTGTTATTTTGTAAATAAATAGATAAAATCAAACTTAGCAATGTTAAAAATGTTTCAGAATATTATGGTTTTTATTGTATTTTGCAGCCTTGGTGAGCACAAGTGACTTTTCTCAAAAACATCAAGTAGTGTGTATATGTTTTTGTATGGAAAAAGGAGTGGGACCTTTTTTCAAAATATCTCCTTTTATGATTCAAGAAAAAAAAAGAAAAAAGAAGTGCTGACAGAATTGTAATTTTTGGATGAACTATTTCTTTAGTGTACCAGAAAATCTGGCAATAAATGTGTGCACTAGAAGGTTTGTTACTCAGAACCTCTGACAGGTGCAAAAATAAAGGAATACAGTAAGAATGAGGAATGGGCTGATACAGGGATAAAACATGATAGCTATGAGTGATATGACAAAAAGTATATGTCTCACCCTCTATTCTGTCACACAGTTTGTGCAGCTGCTGTAGGGGACAACTGTCACACTGCTGACTCTGGGTCCTACTGTTCTGCTGGAGGGCGGCCACAGAGAACGCCTGTTTCAATGTCAACATGATCTCATCCACCTAAACATGAAAGAGTGACATTCACACAGAACAGCTGTAAGCATCTATCTTGACAGATTGGAAAGAGTTTAGAGAACAATAACTGCATCCTGTAGAAGTATACTATTTATAGCTATAAATTCATTGAAGTAAAATTTCATAATTTCATGATATAGTATTTGTAACATGCAACAAAATATTTTTGTACATAAAACTTGCACTGTTCTTTGTGTGCTAAAACAGTAACATAAGACATAAGTATTTTCATTCTCAATTGACTGAACAAGAACATAACATTTATGTCTTCTCTAAAGCAACTATTCTGAATATGTTCTTCAGACTGAAACAATGTATTCATCTCTCCTCATCTATTTATCCATGGTTCTCACCAGAGCTTCGTTAGCACACTGGAAGACATAGCAAACAAACTGGCAACCACCACATTCCACCGACTCCCTGCATATGAAGCCAAAGTGGTCCACATGACGAATACCCTAAAGAAAAGAAAAAAAAATTAAGTGGAAAAAACTTAAAGGGGCCAACTAGACAACTAAACTACTGTTCAAAAGTTGGGGTTAGTAAGACTTTTTAATGTTTTTGAAATATTTTTCTTATGCTCACTTAGATTGCATTTATCTATAAAACAGTAATTGTGAAATATTTTTTACAATTTAAAATAACTTCCTTAATTTAATATATTTTAAAATGTAATTTATTCCTGTGATGGCAAAGTTGAATTTTCAGCAGCCATTACTTCAGTCTTCAGTAGCCGCGTTTCCACTGTCGGGCCAAAAGCGGGCGTGCTAGTGCGTGCCAGGGCCAGTCGCGTTTCCACTGTCACTTCCGGGGCTTGAACGTGCCTCGTCGGTGCTTCCTCGGGGCCAACGGCCAGGGTTTTTTGGCCCGACGAAAACCTTGGCCAGATGAGGCTAGAGGAGTGGCTATGAACAAAGACGGAGTTGTGACTAATATTCAATCCTGATAACACCAGCATTAAAGACTTTTAAAATAATTTTAGCTCAAAACTCACTTTCAGACAGCAGCGAGTGTTTGAAATAACTTCTGTTTGAGATCCAATGTGGATTATGATCACCATACAAGGCAGAAATATTTATAAGCAATGCAAAAGACTGCATGCTAGCCATTAACGTTAAGCTAGCATAGTAAACATGTATATACTGTGACTACAAATCAACAGTAACAGACTCGACTGAATAAGTAGGTATGCTATGTTTACCGCTTTATTTCTGTGTGACTAATTTTCAGTCTTGACAAATTAATTAATTATGATCCATGTATCATTATTCTTATTAGTTTTCTGCTAACTTCTCTTTGTTGGTGAAATGATGGGGTTGCATGACGTTGTTCCTGAGAGGCATGTAAAGGGCAGGTTTTAGTGAAGCGCAGCCGAGCTTCTGGCCCGACGGTGGAAACGCAGCGTGATTTTGGCCTCGGTGCTACAGGTCCGAGGCTATTAGCCCCGCCCGGCCCGTTTAAAGCACTGGCTCGCACTGGCCCGACAGTGGAAAAGCGGCTACTGTCACATGATCCTTTAGAAATCATTCTAATATGCTTGGTGCTCAAGAAACATTTCTTATTATTATCAATGTTGAAAACAGTTGTGGAAACTGTGATACATATTTTCAGGACTGTATGATTAATTAAAAAGCTCAAAAGAACAGCACTTATTTGAATTTGTAACATTATAAATGACTTTACTGTCACTTCTGGTCAATTTAATGCATCCTTGCTGAATAACAGCATTCATTTTTTCATTCAAACGCATTCAAAATAAATAAATAACTAATACATTTAATAATAGAAACTTTTAATATTGTGAAGCGTCCACTAACAGGCTGCAATACCTGATTTGGCAAATATGTTTAAATAAAATATTGAATAAAAATATTTACAAAACAGGTCTGGACAAGTGCAAAGACAAAGGGCTGATTTCTTTTCAGATTTAATTCAGCTATTTTAATTGAAATCTTGCTCAAACATGCCTGATTGTTAATCAGACTTCTATTTGAGAAAAAGCCATTATGTTGACATAAGAGAATTAATTGGCTGCCACAACAGCCTATCATCAACATGACAGAACAGACCTGAGAACAGAAGGAAATCTCTCTGAAGCTCTTCTCTATGGCCACTTTCTTAGTGTCAGGACTCACAAGAAATATCTGAGAGCGGCCAATCTGCAACAGACAGACATAAATTCATAAATTAATATGGGTGTATAGGTAAAAGATGGAAAGTGAAATTCTCCTTGCATAGAGTAAACATATGCATTAAAGTCATTAATAATAGCTCTTCCTGGGATGTTGACCAAGTGAGTTAGAGCTGAGGCTGTTTTACAGTGTAAATAATATCATATTTAAAATTCAAATTAGTATGTTTGTGTGTGTGTGTGTTTTGGTTTTCACTAGATGATCATGCACATATTTGCTCCATGAGACTAGATCTCTGTGTAACAATTATATTTGACCCGCCTCCAGTTTTCCTCTGTAGTACAAGTTCAAACATGACACTGTAGAGTCGTACCAGCTTTTCACCACAAAAATAGGACATGAAATATAGGACATGAAATATTGATTTGAGAAGAAACCCTTTTAAAATCTTACCTGCGTTTCTTATCATCCATTACAGTGTACAAAACAATTGTTCTAGCAACAAGACAAAGACTTCAACAATATTACCATAAGCCTACTATTAATACTGAAGTTCTCCAGTTTCATTTTACAATAAATAAGTAAGAATTTGCATTTGAATGAATCTGGAAAGAGCACATCTGCAGTGTAAAATAAGAGACTGTCGCAACTGACCAACCAGAACCAAGCATTTCTGCAAACTTTACTGCATCAAAAATCATTGCCTAGTCAGTGTCAAATGTTCATTCAGAATCATCTCTGATCACAATGCTGTCGCTGTATGTTTGCTTTCTGCATGCAGCCAGCAAAAGTGTGTTGTCTTTGTGACATGAGAGACTGGGTCATACATAATATTCTGTCCCTGCTGCAAGTAAGTTGCACCTCGACAGATAGAATTCTACAGCATTTGGGTGAATGTCTAACTCATTTTGAATGAGTTCCGCCACTTCTACTGCCAAGACTGCTGCTCCTAGCTCTAATCTAGGTATGGTGTGAGCAGACAGCTTAGAATGAGATGGGCAAGCTTAGCTTTTCCTAAGACAAACCCTACATCACATGAGCCATCTTCATCTATCACTCTCAGGTAGGCTACAGCTGCAATTGCCTATGTGGAAGCATCCGAAAAAAATGAATTTCTGTCCTTTGTGCCAAAGACAGAGTAAACGTTGAGTACACTCTGGGCATTTCAAACTGAGCTAGATCCTGGATGAGGGCTGAAGAAAAAGTCGAAACTGAAGGAGTTCTTTTCCAGTGTTTTACTTGAAATCTTCAGTTGCACAACATCGTTTTTTGTGAAACTATAATGCAAACACAAAACATACATTAAGTATAAAGTATGAGTAAAAGTAATTTTTAAGAAAGGAAATACAATCTAGCGTTAATATGTGAGCGAGAACAACAATCTTCTTATTTTAACAGATGAAATTCAATAAACAATTAAACTTACAGACGATGGCCTCTGGCATGAAATAACAAGAATATAGCTTTTATCAGGGAGAAATCTACTGCTGCATAACTGCTGTTGTGAAGTGAAATATAAGATGGCTGCCATGACCTCTAACCTAAGTCACATGATGCGTCTCAACCAATAAAATAAACTCAAATTAAATGACTATACAAACAGTCAGAACACATAATAATACATTCAATTCAGACTTTGAACTCACAACTCAGCTAAAATATTATTTATTTTGCAGCACAGCCAATGAAAAGAGTGCAGGAAACACTGGTCTGATTTATGGGCACAAGCATAATTCTGACCAGTATCCTGTCACTGTGTGTAAAATCACAGACTGTTCACATCTTCAGAGAACATTAACAAAACATGCACACATTGTGACCATTTCTTCCCCCTTGGATGATTACACACAGTTTCTAAATAAAATAAAATAAAATAAAAAATAAAAAAATATTACACAATAGCCAACACATCACCACACATTTGGTGTGACTTCCTTATGAAGAAAAGACCAAACAAATAAAACTGGAACAGAGTGGCTGCAATGCAGTTTCATAAAACTGGGGCTGCTGCTGCAGGCAACTTGGTATTTATTTTTAAATTGTTAACTGTAATGTTCATCATTATTGCTAGGTAATGTCCTGCTGAGGAGCTGACAGCTTCCTGTCAGTCAGAGAAAAAGGAAGTGCTAATCAGATTTGGCCAACAATATGTGTAGCTTGCTGTATGCATCTTTGAACAATAAATGACACAGCACAGTCCAAATTTTAACTCTGTGTTCTTCTAGATCAGACTATGACAATATGAAAGTGTGCAGCCCTTCACATATTCATGTGCACCAATCAAACTACAAGTGAAACAAATCATTAATTAATTGGTCTAACCCAACTAGTTAATCAGAAGATCAATATAGCTAAACAATATATCCATATTGTAACTGCACTACCATTCAAAAGTTTGGGGTCAGTACAAATGGGCTTTCTTTTGAAAGAAATATAATATTTTTATTCATTTTATTTCAAATAACTGCTGTTCTTTATGAACTTTCTATTCATTAAAGAATCTTCAAAAAATGATTGAGGTTTCCACAAAATATTAAGCAGCACAACTGTTTTTAATACTGATAATGATACTTAAGATTGGAGTGGCTGCTGAAATTTCAGCATTACCATCACAGGAATAATAAAGTAAAAAAAAAGTACAGTAAGTAGAAAACCATTATTTTGATGTGTAAAAATATATCACAATATTACTGCTTTTGTTGTATTTTTCACAACAAATTGTTGAGCGTAAGAAAGTTTTTTCAAACAAATCAAAATATCTTACCGACCCCAAACTAATGAATTATAGTGTATAATTTAAAACATACCAGAGTTTTTTTATTTTTTTTAATGGGAACTGTTTTATTTCAAAAGTGTGCTATATTTTGTTAAAACAAATGGCAATTGGTTTGATATTTTGTGATGTAATGCAATGACATGACGTCAGTATGAAACAGAAGTGGTGGTCATCTTTTCTTCCCTATTGTGACGTATATCTGAGTGAACCGGCTTGTCAAATGAGAGAAAAAAAGTAGGATGGGACTTGATTTTGTCCATCAGGAACTGAATGGATCGTTGGATCACTGTCATTGGCTATTGCTGCGATCTCACGTGATTTGCTGGAGGGGAGAAGTTCCCATCCCGCCCTCAGGCTAGTGAATACGTCATTAGAGAAAGGGGATTAAAAACAATAATAATAATAATAATGTGCATGGTTAAATAATTTATGATAAACACTACAAATTTCCATTAAAAAAATAATTGTCCATTTTAATTTATGACTTTAAGTGTGATTTTTGGGCTACTGTATGTTAACAGATTTGTTTGAAAAGAAGCAGGGATGGTTTTAGCACAGACTTGTTTCAAGAGAATCTCTATGTCCTTAAGGCTACAACATTGACATACCATCTCACACTCCACATGGGGGTGAGGAACGTGGAATTCAAAGTGAGAGAGACAGAGAGAGAGAGCGAGGGAAAAATAAAAGAAAGACCATGAAAAAAAACATTTGATTGGTGCTTCACAGTGCTATGACCATAAAAGTGCCACATGCAGATGGATAAACACCTGCACAAATGTCCATGCACAGACATGCATACACACAGACATAAGACATGCTGACCTCTCACGAGTCACGCTGATAACTCCATAGAACATGCAGAAAAATATTAAGACAAAGAGAGCTTCTTTGAAACCTTCAAAAGCTTCAGAGATAATGTTGTGTTTATATGTTGTACATGTTAATGTAACATATCAATAAAATGTTTTAAATCATCATACAATCCAGAATCGCCAGTTTTTCATAAACAAAGAGTGTACTCCTTTAGCTATGGTGTTTCAACTAAAATCCATTTTGTGGATTATGTGGGTAATGTGCCAACATACAGATTTAGGAAAAGCAGATTTTATATTGAAAAAGATGAATGAGAAGCAGATTTCGATGTGATCTACATAAGAACAAACAAAAGGACCTGGGCTAAACAAAGGTGAAAGAGCAGCAGTTGCTTATATTGGCGCATGTGTAAGGTGGAGAGTGTGCGTCACTCACCGTGAACAGCATGGTTCTGTTCTCCTGTAAGCTAGTGGGTTGGACCCCGGTGGCTCCGTCTGCTGCCCGTCGCTGGAGCTCCGGTGAGAGGCCGTTCTCATCCAATGCCTGCAGAAATGGAAAACTCTGATCTCTTTTAAAAAACAGAGGTCGCTTTCCTCCTCCATCTGCTCCCTCGTTTGTTCCATTCACCATCTGAAAAAAAAAGAAAAGATCTATTAAGGACAAAATTAAATTAAAAGAAATATTTTTTTTTAAATGAACATTTCAAAATAAACAGGGTTGGGGGAGAATGGCCATAAAAATGATGCTATGATAATGGATATAATATACATATTAAAAGCAGACAATTATATGTTAATGTAAAATAATAAATAAAAAATATCATATCATATCATATCATATCATATCATATCATATCATATATAACTGAGTGGCACACTCTGCTAAGCCTCTGGCCCTGAACCCCTAAGGTTGTCGGTTCGAATCCAGGGTGGCTAATGTTGCTTCTGTTCCAGACATTAAATTTTAGGGGGGAAGTCGTGGCCTAATGGTTAGAGAGTCGGACTCGTAACCCAAGGTTGCGGGTTCGAGTCTCGTACCGGCAGGGATTGTAGGTGGGGGGAGTGAATGTACAGCGCTCTCTTCCACCTTCGATACCACGACTAAGGTGCCCTTGAGCAAGGCACCGAACCCCCAACTGCTCCCCGGGCACCGCAGCAAAAAAAAAAAGGCTGCCCACTGCTCCGGTGTGTGTGTGCACTTTGGATGGGATAAATGCAGAGCACTAATTCTGAGTATGGGTCACCATACTTGGCCACATGTCACGTCACTTTCACTTTTTTTAATAATATACAGTGTGGGGAAGATATTTGATTATTTAATTATTGGAGACTATCCCTGACTTGTGTGCTTTGCTGCAGTTTGCAAACATTGCAAGATTAATTTGATCAACTTAATAATATTTTAATAGACTGAAAGCCCTAATGTTAAGTTGTTAACATAAAAAAAAAATTTAAAAGCCTAATGCAAAATTAACCACATTAATCACAATACAAAGTATTTTCTACATCAATGAAGAGTCAGAAAAAATCCAAAAGTTAAATCTAGTACATATCCAGTATCTAGTATATACTGTATCTAGTATTAGGTTAGGAAAATCTAAAAACATGAATGTTGATTGGAACCTGATTGAGCGAGAAAGCCCGCCTGATGCCCGCTGCAAGTGATCCTGTGACGCTGACACGTCCAAACTTCTCAATACACTCATCTATTAGCGCAGGTGGTGCTTTCTTATGGGCCACCACCACTCGCCCACAGAACAACACCTCAAATTTCTTCGCAAAGGCTGTTGCTGCATCAGCCGTCGTTGCTGTGGAGCAGGAGGCATCTGCCTGGCCGTTGCTAGGCAGAGATGAGGGAGTGTCTTCTTGTCGGGCAGAACTTTTGCCGGCCTGCCTGAGAGTGCTGATGATCTCTGGAACCTGGAGAACAGATGCAAAAAGAGAATGAGGTCAAGTAAGCAATGTAAACTAACCCCTTTAAGATCACACTGACCGATATGCATCACAAAACTATTACTATAGAAATGCCCTATTCTTTGTCAGCCACACACTATAAAGCAGAGATGCCCAAACCAGGGTCCGCAGGCCAAAGTTAACCCCTGGATGACATATTACATGAAGAGGGGAAAAAAGGTTGGAGAAAAACATGCCATTGAAATTTTTTAATTGAAATTTTTTTATTTAATTTTATTTTAAACATTTTTTTTTATTGTTTTATTTAAAAATGTTAAATTGAATAAATTTTAATAAACAGTAATATACTGTAGCTGGATATAATGCAAAATTTACTTTTGACCTGCCCCCCTCAATAAAGTTTGGTTTTTGGCCCTTCGCATTAAAAAGTTAAGTTTCTTCTATAAAAGGTTCTTTATTGGCATCCACATTTCCATGAAGAACCTTTAACATCCATTAAACCTTTTCTATTGCACAAAAGGTTCTTTAGAATGGAGAAAGGTTCTTTAGATTTTAAAAATGAAAATGTTCACATTAATTATTCATTTCTGTTCATTTCCCTGTATATGGATGAATAGCAGTTTTGGGAAATATGTCTAAAACTTATATCATTGCTAGTTTAGTAGCTCTGATTTTGATGCTGGAGGAAACATGATTCCATAAGCTTTCAGTTATATTACCATAAGGAAAATCTGAGTGTAAAAGTCACTATAGAAGAGGAGGGTTCAGAACTGTTGTCTAAACATCAGCAGGAGTGATAAATATTATAATAAATAATAAATATTTATAAATAAATATAATAAATATTATTTATCACTGCTAAATATTACCACTTTTAGTAAAAAACAAATAATAATAATAATTTCATGACATTCTTTGACAGAAGGACAATAAACCCACACTTCCATTTCCTCACAATGTTCTTAGTAGCTGGGAATATTATAAAGAGTATATTTTGTTGAATTATAAGAACTACACTATCTCGCAGAAAACGTACATGGTGCACACTTTTGGCAAATGGAAAGATCTATTATTCAATTATGCACAACAGTAACAAAGATACGACTTTAAATTCCATGAAGGAAAGGCTATTCCACGCTAACAAAGCAGTACCACTCCATAACTCACTTCCATCGTACTGAAAAGAGTGAAACTACCAGAGCATTTACCACCAAACCAGATGATTTTCCACAAAGGACATTTTCAAAAAAGAACTGTAGACATTTTTCAAAGCTCCTCTTTTAACAAGGCCAAAAACAGATGGATCTATTAAACTGGAATTTTGTTTTCTGCAGAGGTTGAGCTAATGTAAGTCAAGTGTGCTAATGTGAGTTGTTATGGTGTGTTTACACTAAATTTATCCCATCACGCCCATGTACTTATATTAATCAAGACAAATCCGGTATTTAAAAAACACTACTTAAGATATAGCTCACTGACAGACTACTGCACAAATTGTCACCTCACTGTAAAGGGCAGTAGAGTGCATTTAAGCTGTTTGCACCAGACAGCTGCAGCATTTAACTGCAGATGGTTATTTTTCTGCTAATCAAATCTTTAATTCACTGGAATGCGGAGCTAAGTTAAAGTCTATTTCAGCAACATCCATAGAAAAAACAAAAAGTTACACCGGCTGGCCCAGGAGAAAACAGCGAACATTGGGAAAATACCTCAGGCTATAGCACAAGCTCAATTTGGAGTTGTTTCAGAAGCACTGAATGTTATAGGCATGTGAGCAGGAAGTCAATGTAGTTCCACCCCAATCTACTGATTCCTGTCATTCAATAACTTTTAAAGTATAATATTGCCACCACATACACATTATTAAGGGGTCAAAAACAGTGAACTTTGAAGTAGGCTTCTGGGATGCTGACTGTGCAGTGGCCCCAAACATTGGACACGTCCCAGTTAAAGATGCTGCAACCAATTTTGTTGTATTTTACACATTAAATGCCTCTGTAAACAGCAAATAAATAAATAAATAAATAAATATTTAAAAAACAAAAAAAGAACATCAGAAAACTAGCCACTAAGACGAGCCATTTTCTGTCGTTCTCTGGTTGCCAAGAATCGGATTAAATGTCTCTTAAAAGCATATGAATTATGCTGCATTACACAAAATGTCAAAGCAAGTTGCATTTAACAAGTAGGGATCATTAAACTTACATATTTTCAAAACTGTCTAATTGATGGGTTGCCTGAATGACATTAAAGGGGTCATATGATGCGATTTCAAGTTTTCCTTTCTCTTTGGAGTGTTACAAGCTGTTTGTGAATAAATAAGATCCCTAAAGTTGCAAAGACTAAAGTCTCAAACTCAAAGAGATAT